GTCTCGCAGCCCACCAGTGGATTACCCTGACGGGCCGCAGGTTGTCCACCACTGGTGTAGACCCTTCCTACGTCAATAGAAGGGTTGTTCCTATCAATGCAGTTCATCTACTTCTCTGAGAGGCACTACTGCACCTGCACCAAGGATTAGGTCGCCCTAACAACGGCACTCAGGGCACGATTTCTTTTCACAACCCTGAGCAATGTAGTTATGTCAATCTAACTGTTAAGTGTAGGCCACGTCTTAGTTTCTCTGTGCCTCCATTCCTCATCTGTAAAATGGGTATAGTAGCACTTCCCTGTCACAACAGGGGTGTCTGAAAGGATGAAGACTGCAAGTGCTGAAATACTATCGCAATGGAGGCTATTGGTTAAAACAACAGTGTGTTGACTACCCTGGTCCTCCAGCATTGCTACCACTTGGGTAGCAAAGATAGAAACTTAAAGAAAAATGCTAAATGTGGGTGGCTATAGAGACTTGATGTGCAGCTAGATTCCGCAGAGCTGGGTTGGACAGAGACAAGCAATGCTTGGAATGGCAGAACAAAGGTCAGAAACTCTGTAGCATTTCTTAATCCACTTGCCCAGAGCACCTCTCCAATTTTATTGTAGGCCTCATACCGCTGCAGGCCATATAGTTATTGAAGTATGTTTCCATTCAACCAAGAAGGTAGTATTTATCCACCAGATTGATAGAATGTTTAGAGGAACAATTTGGCTCCGCATTGGGAGTCTCTTCTGACTTCCTTAGCAAGTGCTGCGTATTAAATATAGTATATATAGGGCTATGTGCAAAGAACCCTTTCTCTGTGTGTATCTGTTTTACGCCCTATGAGTTTGAAAACATACTGTATTTAAAAATTTTCCCCCATGGATAGGTATGTAAAAAAATACAAGAATACTAGAAGCACGGGAACTCTCCATTGGAAGGAAAAGCCTAAGTACGTGGTATAAGCTTCAACTTGCCAGCTTGTTTCTGGGATCCAGACCTTCCATGTCTAGCTTCAGATAAAGACTTTTTTTTTCCCCACAGGGAAGTTGTGAAGGATGGAAAGTAGGCCTTTCCGATGGCAGCCTTAACACAGTAGAACATTGCAACGAATGTGTATAATTAAAAAAGATTTAGACTTTGATAAACAGTTTGAGTGTTGAAAAATAAGACTTTTGGTGCAGGATGTCGAAGGGAATTCACTTTAATCGCAGCTGACTTGTCCATATTGAGAGAGAATGCATCCATCTGAGTGATTTAGGGCTTCTCTATATATGTTGGGAAAATTTTCATCAGTGTAACTGATGAATTGATCTAATTATATTAAAATTAGATCAAATTAAAATTGATCTAATTATATTGATGCAAACTTCTGATTTAAATCTTTTCAATTGATTCAGGTTTCCAAGTGTGAACCAGACCTAAATCTAGCAGTGACTAACCTTTATGGTAAATTATTTTAGGACATTTCTCCACTGCAGAGTTAATTGGGATCGTTGGTACTTGGGTTAGCACAGCCTGGGTATGTGAGCAGCCACTCTGCAAAGCAATACCTGAGTTTTGTGTCCTGGCTGTTGCCCAAGCTTTAGGCTATACCCCAAGATAAGCCATCAGCCCTGGCTGAAATGCAAGAGAGGGGGATTTGTGTTTTGAAGGGTAGGGGAATTAAGGATAAAACATGAGTGAGAGCCGGAGGTAACTCTGAAGTGAAAACATACCTTAAAAGTTGGTGTGTAAAAGGGAAATGACAGGGTTTTTAAAAACTTCTTTAGCCACTATGAAAGCCTGAAAGGGTGTGGATTTTTCTTGTTAAAATAAGTAAATTAAATAGGCATTAGTAATTCAGGGCTTGTTGGCAGTGAGACTTTGGTGATGCAAGTATTCGTTCTAATCACTAGGCAACACAACTTCAAAAGTACCGCTGAAGCAATTTATACTTTTTAAGGTGTATTCCTTCCCCACCCCCCACACGCAACCCAACGTATTTAATTTGCCAATATTAAAAAACAAAAACAAAAAAACACATGGGCATATGGGTAGTGGTGTTGATAGTCTTGGTATCACGGCAGGATTCTTCTGTTTCGAACAGTTGTTTAAAGCTTTCTGAATATTTGTAATTTTAAGTGTCCACTTGCCCGTTCCAGTGAAATTGGTGATGTTAATCTCTTCATTGCTCCCTTTTTAGTTCTGCGAGGATCTATTCAATCGTTACCATGACGAGGGTGCCTTGCAAGGCATATGACCGAGGTTGAGGAAGGGTGTTATGGTCTTGTCTTTAAAGCTTGTAATTTGACCTAACATAGCAGTTGCAGTATTGAGCTTCTCTCATTTAGGTGGCCAGCATTGTAGAAGGGACTAAGAATACTTTGGTACCTACTTGGTTAGAGACCCATGGAGTGTCAATGCTGCTGGAGAAGAAAACTGGAGGGACATATTTGCACTAGAAAGAGCTGAAATTCTGGCTAAAATGATATACAGGCACTCACCTTCAGCACATCATTCATGAAAAGAATGGGTTAAGTGCGTGTGTTAGTTGATTTCTTGAAGCAAGTTTTTACTTGACAGTAACATGATTTTCCTGATCAGTCTACCTATATACTGTAGCATGCTCAGAAATTGAGGTGTTTTCCTGTCGCTTTCCATGAGAAATCTGGGAGAATCTGAGTTTTTAAACAAAGTAATTGAATAAATTGATGTCAGTGGTGGCTAAAACCCCAACATTACCAGAAAGGCATTTGTCAATAGACAAGTGACGTGTGTATTTTTAATAAGTTACAGTTTTTATGTGGACTCCATTATATACTCAATCATTAAGAGTACACATTTTAAATTAGACTGTTGTTTAAAGCAGTTACATTTTGAGTTAGCACTGTAGCTACTGCCCTGTTCTCGCTATATTTAAATAGCAAATGCTTAAGTTCAAAACAGTTTTTTCCCCAAAAAGATAACTTGCTATAGAAATGGCTTGTTTTTTCTAGTATGTATTTCTATTACCTGAAAAGTTAAATGTCACAGTTCATAGTTTAGCAGATTGCTTTGCTTAGATACATGCTTATCTTGGATTTCTGTTCACTTCTGAAACCCCGTGCAGTATGAAACTCTTGAAATAGGAGCAGATTCTCTTTTCATATTGAAATACAGTTTTCCTACAGAATGCATTTGCATCTCCCAAGATGTGCCACCAAGCTTTCTGCTATGTATAAAAATGCTAATGAATTCCAACATCTGCTTCTATAAGATCCTGAACAAATGTTCAATAGATAAATTATGGTTAAGTAGATGCAGTCAATCTAATTCAAGATGGCTGCAAAGATGGGGTTACTTAGTTTTAAGGCAGAAAGCAAATTCTAAATCAGAGTAAAGTAGATGGATGGTTAAACTCAAGAACAAATTGTTTAGACCACTTGTTTGTTTTTCGGTTTTAACAAAAAGGCCTTTGGTGTCTTGAAACTTCTCTGGAAGTGTATTAGTGTTTTCTTAATTTATCTGCACTTGTGCTGCAGGGAGCTGCCTTTGCGTATCCAAAGGAAGAACGGAGTTGTGGGTCTTGCTGATATTTGATCTCTGGACCAAATTTTAAATCCCTTGTTTAACCATATCCTAAGGCTTTTGTGATCGTGGGGTTGATGTGTACTCCTTCAGCTACTGATAGCTGTTTGAATACTAGAACAAAAATGTACGGATTTAGCAGAGGGAAGATAGAACAAATACAGGTCTTGTTCTTTCCCATTTCTCATTGCACTTTGTATCCTCTTATTTTGCATTATACTTTATAGGATCTTCTTTTTACAAACTTCTTTATGGTGACTGATTTTAGGTGTGGGGGGGTTGTATTTACACATTTACAACCATCTGAGCCTGAGCTGCCCTGCAAAAACTACCCATTGCTGATGACAAGACTCCGCACTGGGTAAGCTGAATATGGAATAACATCAGCAAGGGTAAACAAAGGCCAGTGGTGGTCTGCACTGTTCTAAAAACATGCTTAAAATCGGCTTGGATTTATTTGGATGGATTTTGGGGGGGAGGAATTTTGTGCTGCTTTTTAAAGCACTGGGATTATTTATCTGCGACAATCGAAGTAGCACCAATAGGACCCACCAAGGGTTTTGGGTCCTATTGTGCTAGGTATTTTACTGGGATGCGCTAATTAAAAATCTGTGCAATTTTTTATTTTATAAATTTATATTAATACCACATAGAATAATCTTATAAATGTTCTGTGCTATATGGAAACAAGCTCCTTTTGAGATACTTGCACGGAAAATATTACTTAATTGCAAATTAACTTCACTTTTTAAATTTTTATATATATGTATTTTTTGGTCTGACTCTGTTCCTAAACCTTGGAATGTGATATAAGTCCTCATGGGGAGGTGGGCTTATCCTTTGGGAGATTCGTTTAGGATTCCAATACCTTTGGCTGGGTCAGTTTCACTAAGTCTTTAAGGAAAGACAACATTGGTGACACAACTTCATAATAGTGCAAGCGTGTACCCATCTCTATAAAGTTCGCTATTGTCCTAAGTTGTATGGGCCTCCTTGACTTGCATGTATCTAGTGTTGGTATTTGGCATATTAGAGTTGCTCTTAAAGACAAGGAAGCTTATATTGAAATATACCTTATATTCAGATCATGGCAAGACGTCATCAGACCTCACTTCCTGCCTTCTTCCCTTGCCCCAATAAATACTTCTGGAGCTCACAGTTCACCAGTGCACCAGAGCTGCACACCATTATCTTGCACAGATAGACCAAATACAGTGTTTGCACAGACCCTGGCAGTTTGCATATACACCACCTGATCAGTTTTGGGTTTAAGTCCACAAAACTCCAGCTAGCCCCACTAGAAGAGCAGGTTCCCCATGCTGCATGATGGATCTGTGAATTCTACATGCTTACTAATGCACAACTAGTGCCAGGATCCTTTGAATCTTGGTGACCTTGGGCTGAGTTTGTTTGTTTTTGAGTCAATTTTGAAATCCATCTTTAATTTTTTAATTTTTTTTTAGGCAAATTTGAAGAAAAGGAGGATCGCGTTCCAAAGCTGGAGCAGCTAAATAACTTGGCTTACATGTGCAACGTGAACGTGGTGCTAAACAAAAAAGACCTGCTCAAGATGGAACTGCTACTCTTGGAAAACTTCAACTGGAACCTCTGCCTGCCGACTCCAGCACACTACATTGACTACTACCTCTTCGCTTCTGTTGGTGAGAAGGACCTTCACAATGGCTGGCCCATCACCTCTCTGACCAAAGTCAAAGCTTTCATGGAGAAATATGCTTACTACTTCCTTGATTTCTCAGTGCAAGGTAATCTCTCAGTCCAACTGTGAGAGGTGGAATGTGTAGAGATTTACCCTTGAGTAGTTTTCCAGTGGGCTAGTGGCAAAAATCCATAGCAGACAAAGGCTTTTAAAACTGGCACAATGTAGGTGCAATAAAAATACCTGCAAAGAGCAATATCTTTCCTCCATATTGCTACAGACTGCAAATGGTGCATATTATCAAAGGCACTTCTAGGGGAAGAACCCTTCCCCTAGAAGAGTCCTTATGGCCCTCTTTGCAAGCATCTAAAGCAGGTTGGAAATGCCCAGCCCTAGAACTTTTCTGTGATGCCCCTAGTGAGAGTCACTAGAAATGGGGGTTGTGGATTTTAACTTCCTTCCTGAGGGTGAGATGTTTTGGAGAGCTGCTAAAAAGCCAAAGGGGCTCACTGTCTTGGCTGCAGCAAGATTTGAACTAAGGTGTATTTTTGATTCTTGGAAATTGGGTTAAAGTTTAAGTGCCCAACCTTGTTTTAGTTGAGACCCTTCCTAGAAACTTGATTAGGAGTCAGAAAATGCCTTCAACTTGCATGAAATGGAACACATCCAAATGGCTTGCAGGGGATAGACGCCCACAGCAGGGTCATAGTTTGAAATGTTTCATCCTGATTTGTGGAGGCTTTTGCTGGGCACAAAATGCCACTCTTCAGCCTGTGTATCAAATATGAAGACTTAACTGTTCACCTCTGTGGGCATTTGGCCTATAGGTTTAACTTGGTCCACCTTGCTGCATGTGCACAGAGTGAATGGAACTCGGAGTGAATGGTGATCGGTCAAAGCGTAATATTATTTTTAAAATTTCTTTAGATTATGCTTTCCTCAACTTTCGACCATCTCTGATTGCTGCTGCTTGTGTGTGCGCCTCACGCATCTGTATGCAGATTTCTCCCTCCTGGACCACACAGCTCCAGCTGCTAACGTGTTATTCCTGGGAGCATCTTACCCAGTGTATCGAAATGATGCTAATGTAAGACTGCTGGACCAATGTAACCTATTCCTCAAACTCTTAATAGACTTTCTATTACTCTCCAAAAAAGTAGAGATGAAAAGACTCCAAATGGCATTTAGTGTAGCAGTAATTAAGATCACATGAGATTAGTACATCTCAATGCATATCAGCAAAATTGGGGATTGGGGCAATCTTCCTAAACATTGGTGCAGTGGTAGCACATGAATCCATTGAATCAACCAGAATGGTAATCAATTCATGCAACTGGGTGGGTAGGCTGCACAAAATTTGACTTCCGTTATAGCTTCTGTGTAAGTAGCTATCCATCCTTTGCGAGGTTACAGCAATACTTCATACACTAAGAAGTGTTATAAAGTGATAGCAATATTCCCCTTCCAGTAAAGACATTCCAGAACTATTCACTTTCTCTGTCTCTCACTCACTCACTAACTACCCCCAGGAGAGGATGTTGCTTGTCCTGTTGTGATAGGCTGGACCACCGTCATGATCTATGTGGACGCAGGCAAGTCCTGCTAGCAGAGACTGAAAAGGATTCCCTTATTGGTACTCTGCATTTATGGGGTCTTGATACACAATATCAAGCTGCACGTTTTAATAACTGCACGTTTTAAATAATAGCTGCACGTTTTAAAAGATCTCTCCACGCTATAGACCAAATGTACCAAAATGCCCACTGAATGTTTTAATGGTTCAGAATGGTCGTTAGTAGATAGAAATGGTAAGTCTAGTCAAAGTGCCGACAGGGGAAATATGAACATTAATGAGCACAGGAAGTTCTTTTTATCTCTGACCTCTGCAGGCTAATAAGCACCCAAATCCTATGCCCATTAGGGTCAATGGGAAAACTTTGTACTGACCATGTAGGAACAGGCTGGCAAGGGGAAAATTGAAAATCAATTTGTAGAAACTCCTCAGATATTTACACCCATTCTGATAGCTTGCATTTGCTTGACAATGCTATGCTTTAATTTTTGTTTTCTCTAGATATTATGAGAATGATGTCAAAGAAGTCAGCAACTTGAAAAAACAAGTAACCTTGCAGCAGCAAGTAGTGGGAAGTGTGAACCACCAAACCACAACTCAGGTCCTGTTTCAGCAATCCAGTTATCCCCCACTAGCCCAGCACTCAACTACCCTTTCACAGTTCCAGTCTCCAGTGCAGGATTTGTGCTCTGCTTACCGTGACTCCTTGCAGGCCCACAGGCCCAGCAGCCTACTCTCTGAGAGTGCTAGCACCTCACTACATTCTTACTCTGCTCTGCAGGCCAGCCTTCAACCTTCTGTGCAAACTCTGCCCATCCAAGGACCTATCACGATGCAGGTAGCTATAGCAACAGAACCTAGACACTGCATCTCCATGGCCTATGGCAGCAGCTATTTCAGTGGACATCACTCCTACACAGCCAGGTGTTTTGACAGATGACTGTCTAGAAAAATGGTGACGTGAGTAAAGTCTGAACAAAGGGCCCCATGGGATGAGACCCAAATGTATATCTGCAGCGAAAGGAACAGGAACACAAAGGAACAGAATCTTTACAACTAGTTGATTCCGAAGACGTTTGCTCTTGAGACCCTTTTCAATGTAGGTGCCATTCCTGCAAGGATTGGGGTGTTGTCTTTTAATAAGACTGAGAGAAACAGCAATGCAATAACATACATCACTTCAGGTTGTCACTTTGAAAAGCATCTTGTGTAAGAAGTTATACCCTATGGGGCTTACTAGCTTAGCCTTCTGTACAGCAGGCTCCAATTAATCACAAATGCTAACACTTGTGATTTTAAAGGGTTATTTTGAGCAGGAATGCCTGGAGGGACTTCTCAAATAACATTCTTGTGGGAGGTTATTGTTGAAAGTGGCATCTATCCAAAGGTCTCTCTGACAGTTTATTCCACTGGAAACTACCACTAAAAATGATGCTATAGAAGCTTCTTGATGCTATCTGGATGAACAATCCCAGTCTGTGCAAAATCTCTATGTAAAATGTTGTTTTCCCTTTCCTTGACCTGGAGTGAAAGCAACCCGGATGACCATCAAATCCTCTTTGCCTTAAAAGTCCTCTTGGATTTGGGTGCTGTGCCACTGAACAAAACCTCTCTGCCTTCATGTAAAAAAACCTCAATCTTAAATCACCTTTAGGATTTTTAAGATGCTGCTGCCTTATGTGACTGGATATAATTTGTTTAGTAAAATTGTTTACAAGCTACATCAGGGATCTAATGTTACTTGAAGAAAACCCCTTGGAAGAAAATTCTTATATATACACTGAAGGGGTTCACTGCCTTCAGTTTAGTATTTTTGGGGATTAATGTATTGTGGTCAAAGTGAAGTTTAGGACTGAAGAACTTGTACTCATGAAGAGGAGGTGGAGAAGGGGAACCAGTTAATTCTACCATGGAATTTAGGAATGGTTATGCCTTTATTCTAAGACTGCAATGTTAGGCTATACAGAACTTTGATCTTTAAATTCCATCTTGGAGCATTCTAGCAAAACTGAGTTAAGGGTACTAGTAATTTAACTGAAATGAGTATACCTGCTACCATGTATCCAAAGGGTTATGTTTTTAAAATCATTTTGAGCTGGAACTTCCTGTGTTTGGTCAAAAATTCTATGTAGGATTTGTGTGGTAATGTAGATAGTTACAAGTAACATGGAGACTTCTACTTGGGTGTAGAACACTCACTTGATAGGCAACCACCATTCTGTAGTTGCTGAAAGCCAGTATTCTTTGTTAAAGGTTCTCAGGACAGCAGTATAGACAATGTGCAATATGCTTTTACTCTGATCTGTGGCAAATGCTGTTTTTTTTTTAAATATCACGTTAGACAGTGCTGTTTAAGTTATATTTTTAGAGAACGTAGTTTTTAAGGGATGTGTTGGGGGGTGGAGGGCAAATCTCTCTCAAAAATAACCTGTCTGCTAACATTTGTTTTAACGATGAGGGTCTCCTTAAAAATATTGCATACTGTAATTTTGTGTCACACAGTAAGATGACCATGTCCTTAGCAGAACAGGCTAGGAAAGTTTAAAATCTATTTCATTTTTTAAATTTTTTTTTTTAAGTTACAAATCCTAACAAAACTGAAGAGGTAATGCCTTACAGAAATTAGTTTAGCAACTTAAAGAATTTAGTTCACTCTTTTTTTATTCTGTTTGTGTATTTATATGGAACTTTTTTCCACAAGGTTTTAGCGTATCTTAATGACTGTTATAGTCGGCCATTCAGCAGACTGTAAAGAACCTCTTAAACATGCAGGGAATATTTTGGTACTAGGGCATTTCTGACTGTGGAATCCATGTGTTTTTTTTTGTAACCTCTCTAGAACAGGTCATATGAAGTCTTGTGTTTGACAGTCTGCAGTCACTCTTTAGTGACCATTTCCACTGCTAGCTTGATGAAGATTGTTCAATAAACAAAAGACCTGTATCTGACTACTTATTTGTTAATACTGTCTACATTCTCACAGTGTATTTCTCCTAAAAGGAGCCAGTGAACTTCTGCCCCCACCTTGCACAGAGTAATCCCTTGGTCAAGTATCTGTGTATAGAAGCTATAGCTGTCGACAGTGCTTCCTGGGACACAACAGAAAAGTACTCTTGGCAAGTGTGATACACAGGATGAATTAACAAATGGTATTTCCATGGTTTAGGAAACCTATGCAGGAAGGCTTTGCAAAAAGGGAATTGTAAAGGATCAGGGAGGTGCTACTCACTGCTTGGGAAGTGAGGAACTATTCCAAGTGTAAGATGTGGCAGCGTACAAGGAAGCAAGAAGTGAATCAGGGAAGCAGTCTAAGGAGCAATTAGAAATGATGCAGTGGGACTGAGGGCATGTGGTGAAATGACCGCTTATGATGTGATGTGACCAATACATTTCTTGGGCATCCTATCACGCTGCTTATGCGATTTTAATTCTGAATTGGAGAATATGCCTCTGCAATTTCTTTCTTTCCTTCATGGTCACTTTTCTCTACACATGTCCTTTCCCTGGCTTCTCTCAATTTTGCTCTTTATGTCCTTTATAGAGGTTTTTCAGAAAAGATGGGCTAAAAAGCCCAATGTTGCCTCTTGTTTTGGGAGAACATATCTTCTGCAATGCCTCTGAATGCTGGCAGGAGTTCCACTTTAATTTTCTGGCTAGTGTACATTTAAGCCACACCTAATTTTGTGTGTGAATTTCCTTTTGTCTTTAATGAAAACATGCCACCTGTGGAAGTAGCTAAAGTAGGAAAGCTCAGACAACTGTAATGTAACTGTAAACCTAATCATGTCACTTACATAGCTGCACAAAAAGCTGGGTGAGTTTTTAAAGCTTAATAGATGTTACAGGACATTTTTAAAAATTCACTGGTAATTTTTTAAAAGATAGAAGTGGGTTGCAAAATTAGATGAGAAAATTCAAAAGCTATTTTTTTCTTAACACTTATGAATCTTGATATGTAGCAGGTGTATATGGGGGAAAGCGTTCCAGTGATTAGCAAGTGATTAGGAAGACTACAGTGAGTTCACTAATTGAGATCTTTATGCTTGGAACTAACATAGACATTCCTTATTTAGTTTTCTATAATGTTTTGCAATAATGGCTTTGACTACTCCCCAGACACAGCTTGATCTCTCTGTTCTAGCCACTGTCCAAAACGCTTCATATAAAGTTATTTACTGTTAAAAGTTGGTTAATACTCTGTGATCAAAGATAAATTACTGCTGAGGGTTTGATTAACATTACAAGCAGATATTAAGGTCAGTTGCTTTATTGAGAGCTTGAACATGCTGACATTTTTGCTAAACAAGTAGTCTTTGATCTGGTGTGGTTTTGTTTTTCTTTTTAATTCTTATAAATGTCAGAATCTGTTCCTCACAGTACTTTTGTGTTTGACAGCACTGTGAAGGCAAAAGGAAATAAAGATATTGTCAATCACCCTTTTAAACATATAGTAAACTCTTCAAACAACTTCTTGCTGAAGTTGGAATATTTCAAATTTTGGTCATTTAAATAATCCTTGCAAAATTCTCCCTGCCCCTCACTTAGGGTACTTAAATTATTATTATTATTATTATTATTTATTTTTACGGGTGAAAATCACTCTTGATCACTCCCACCAAAGGGGCAGTAGAATATAATGTGCACAATCTCGCATGGCAGTCTTAAGACACAGCTGGAGACATAATAAGCAAGAAACTTCCTTTTCCCTGAATTAACTTCTGTCTCCCTCTGCGGAACATCTCCCTCTACTACCTCGTTACCTGCCCATATATTCTTTTGATGTTAGGTAGTAGCACTGAATTACTGAAGTGGGTTTTAGCCCATGAAAGCTTGTGCCCAAATAAATTTGTTAGTCTCTAAGGTGCCACAAGGACTCCTTGTTGTTTTTGTGAGTACTACTGCAGGTGTCAAGTGTCTCCTTAGTGTAAAAGACAAGACAAGGTGAGGTGAGTGTCCTGCTTTAAAAAGCACTTCAATAAATCCTCAAAAATCTGCTTTACTTGCCTGGCAAATCAGACTGCCTGGCAAATTGGTTTGAGTGTCCGATTTTTGGCAGCAGGCGTAAGTTTTTTGCTCTCTGACCTTTGGCGGGGCATGCACTTTTCTTCAGAACCCAACTTTTGAAAATGTGGCTTTAATTTTTGGGGGGTTGAAATGCTCTGTGTGAGTTCCCAAGCAGTTCTGTCTTCATGAGACACATTTTAAAGCTAGCATGGATCATCGAGAGGAGGGATAGCTCAGTGGTTTGAGCATTGGCCTTCTAAACCAGGGTTGTGAGCTCAATCCTTGAGGGGGCCATTTAGGGTTCTGGGGCAAAATTGGGGATTGGTCCTGCTTTGAGCAGGGGGTTGGACTAGATGACGACCTGAGGTCCCTTCCAACTCTGCTATTCTATGAATCTATTGTTTGGAACTATCTTGCAGGAGTTTAAACTTCCAAACCCCGCTCTCCCAACTCCTTTAATAAAGCATCAGTTCTTTGCATCTTTTTAAGGTCCTGTATATCCAGCTGTTGGGACTCATTTAGAAGCAGGTCCCCCCCCCCCCCCCCCCCCCACTGTCCTGGCAGGGTTCCATCAACAGAATTGTGTCTACAATACAATGACATCATTTGGTTCCCTCTGAGAGAGAGCTTTGTTTTTGAACCAGAGTGGGGGGGGGAAACATGTTGGTGTCAGGTCCCCAAGAAATCAATTTCAAATCTTATCACATTCTTATATGGATCCCAAGAATCAATTCCTAAGACTAAACTTTAACTTGCTCTTACTTTTACTATTCCTCAGCATAAGCAAATGTTCTGCTTTAAATGAAAATCAACTCTCCAAACACCTTCTAAATAGTGTTTAGCCAGGGCAGGGCAGGATTAATATAGACCTACCTGATCTTAGAAACTTTTGCCATATAGTAATGTCGGTTAGAGGAGTGGAGGCTTCTTGTGATATTTTTATGCCAGCAAAAGCCCTGCTATGGATACAATTACACTGGAAAAAAGTGTGTTGTTGTTGCATAGCTTATTTTGTTCAGGGAACTGGCATAAGCTATACTGCAAAAGCACAACAAGCTACATCGATATCAGGAGGCTTTGCCAGAATAGCTATACTGGCAAACCTTTTTTAGTGGAGACACTGCCTAAACCCCTCCCCCAGCACATTCCTATGTATCTGTGACCTACTTCCTCACCTCTGGATTATGGCACAAGCCTATTTCTGGGGCTTTGTAGCCTCTGGTGACCCTTCTATATGGCCAGGAAAACTAAGAGCTGGAGTTGAAGGCTAATTTGTCAAGCATGGAAAGCGGTTAAGGAATACAGCCTCTGCCACAGCCTGCTGGCATAAAAGCAAAAGGGACTGCAAGGAAGGAAACCAGGAGTGGTGAGTTGGGCCTTTGGAACCTTGCATAGCTTAAAGCCTCTGAGGACACGACTGGACAGTGAGCACTAGGCTCCTGCAGTATTAGCCATTTCCACTTCCCACTTCTGTGCAGTGCAAATTGGCAGTAATGAAGGGTGGAAATGGGAAGAGGAGAAGCTTATGTAAATGCAGGACAAAACAAACATCTGTGCTTAGTCATGTGGCTCGATGCGATGGGGCTAACCATCTGGCTCCAGATGGAAATGTGAAAACGTCCGCACAAGAACCGAAAAAGTTCATAGTCATTCTTAGCAACAGAACCCACCCCCCCATGCATGAGTTCCAAGTGACTAGCACAGCTGAGTGTGCACGTACGACAAGCATATGGCTTCCTACAACAGGCCAGGGGCAGCTTTGGAAAAATATTTTCTTGTCCTTTAGAGCTTTGCTGGACAATAGAACATACAGCATTAATGGCCCAACCTTTCCAATAATGAGTTGCTGTTGACTTCACTCCGTTTTGTCTGTTAGTGTCCCCTGCTAATTTCTGTTCTTGAGAGCTGTGGAATTTGTCTTGCAGTGGAGTATAAAATGCTCAGTTCATTCCAGACTTAAATTTTCCCTTGTAGTAGTGACCCTGTGAGGTGCACGAGTGTTGTTTAACCCCCATCTTGCACATACAGAAAAACTAAGGTAAAGAGGTTATGTAACTTGCCCAAGGCCAAAGAGAGCTGGAACTGGAATAGAGTTTTCCTGGTGTATGCCTGTCCTGTGCTCAGACCACTAATGAGGAGATAGGTGCATTCTTCCTTTTTCTCTGCTGGAGCAGCTTATAGGTTCAAGCAATACAACACAACCTGTGTACACAGCTACTATTGCCATCACTTTACAGTGGTAAGTGTGGGAGTGGGGAGCCAGCTATATTGTTAATACTGTTCTCCTACAAATGTGACCATAATCTGTCCACTTTCTAGGAAGCATATAGATCTAATGGCACTTTGGGGAATGAGTAGGGGATAGATAACCCCACTGTCCTAGTCAACATACTCTTCTTTCAAGAGTAACAAGCTGCAATGTCCAATGCCCAGAGGCCTTATTCGCCACAAAATACACAGTTTTCCTGTAGTTGCCACACTGAGTCTTGGGCAATCACTTATGTCTTGGGTATGTCAGGCACTGTATAATTCAAATCCTATTTTAGATTCACAAACCTTAATAGTTTAGGTTTTTGATGAGAGCAACCTTAATGTACATCTTGGCATTTTCTAGCTGGGGAATGCTTGACTTTGCGACCTTTTTTAATCCGTAACTTTATATTTCCTATTTTTGTTTTTACAGCTCATTCATGTGAGCAACCTTAACTAACGTTCACTGAAGATTTTTGTCTGTGAATGTCCTTAGTTTTTAAATATAAAATCTCTTGAGTGCTATTTAAATAAAGCACTTATACAATGAAGACAACAAATGTGTATTATTGCTATTATCTTTGTGAAGCTCCATATTTCACCACTCTGTGCCATGATGACCAGTATTCTGAAAGTAATTAAACTGTACTCAAACAAAACATGATTTTTTTATGCAAATTCAGTTTTACTCCCA